TCTTTCTGAATCACAATCACAAGTAACAATGAAAGCAAATCATTGAGGCAATTGCCACGTTCTCTGTTTTGCCCTGTTGTCAAATTAAAACCCCCTGGAAGGCTTAAAATCAGAAGATATATTAGGCTCTGTATAATAACTATCTGAAAGTGCGTAAGATGATCCAATGTGCTTCTGTACCTACAAAGTAAGTTTTCTAAGCAAATCTCTCATGGGACTCCAGGAGCTCTGCTACTGATAGAGACAAAATTTAGTGTTAAGATAACTGGTATCTTAACACCATGATTTTAGCAGCACCATTTTTGTGCTCAGCTCGCTGCTCAGTTAGCAGTGAATTGCTCAGCTGTTGCAGTTGCCAACAGAAATGTGTGACTCACTTCAGATTTCTAGTTTTATAGTCGATGCTACCATCCTTAGAGTTTAGCAGGACAATTTCTACGGAGAAGGATGTTTGAATCCTTTTCTGAGGAGCAGCCGTACGTGTGATGCTCGATGATAAGTTTCAGTTTAAGAACAACTTGCCAATCTTTATTTGCTGTCAGATAATGATTTCTGATTTTCTTTGTGTTGAAGAATATTACAGAAATGCTTTGAAAGCAGTGAAAGAAGAAAATGACAGACTGGTTGAGAGGCACAAGATGTTAAGCAAGGAACAGGCCCCCGAGGTATTCCTTCTGCTTTTTAAAATCTACTAACTGCATCAGAGTTAGCATTCATGTACTCAGCATTAGTAATTATTTTTAACTCAAATTAAGACTTGGCAATTTGCTAATGAATTTAGTAAAATAGTAAATTCTAATAAATTTAGTAAAATAACCTGTGCTAACCATGGCATTGGTTATTGTTATACACACAGGTACTTATTTATTTATTATTACATCAGACTAACAATGAGTAGATGTGAGAGCATTTAACGGATGAGGTATGGGAAACTGGGACACTGTGCACTGGTGTGACTTATGCAAGTACATGTCACTTTTGCCATGCCCTTGATTTTTGAAGTTTGCATAGATTTCAAAAAACACTAAGAGATTGTCTGTACAGCAATTTGAAAAAAGAAAAAGTTGTTCTGCACTCATAAAGTACATTTAAAAAATTTAGAAATGCCAAAATAGTGCGATCTGCCATAAAATTTAGGCTCATTGGTACATAGATTTTTTTTCTTGTCATCTGTGCCAACTTTGATTTGTAACTATAATTTACAAAGTCTTTATGGTGATCAATTCTCACACTCACAAAATGCAAAATGTACTTTGGTACAAATCGCTGGTTGGGCCCATTAGGTATTGAAATTCCCTGACTTCAGTGCTGGAATTTTCAGTTGTGCGGGAACGTAATCCAAAGGCCTGTGTTTATGATGATCTACAGGGGCATCTCCCTGCCGTTATTCCTTTCCACTTACTGACATCAATAATTAAATCATAGCCTCGTCTGATTAGCGTAGAGTTTACATGATTAAGTCACATGTCACAGATCAGTACTGCCTCCTTTGTGATTTGCTTGGGCTTTCTAATAGCTAAAGGTTTGATTTCCTGAAAACAGGGAGATTTGAGCAGCAGTGGGAACACAAAACTTATTGACAAAAAGGAAATATCCTGTTTTAATATGGGAAATTAGAAAATATCAGAAAATTGCTTGACATATAAACTGCACTAGGCAGGATGATGGAGAAGAAACAGCTGGCCGTGTGGACTAAATCCTCTCGTAATCCCTCAGGGGATGCCACAGTCTGTTGTGTAGATGTTTCTTAATTTTTTCAGCAGAAGATTCTTCTTTATATTAAGCAGCACTGTCAAAGTCCAGCTTTCAGATGAGATTGATCTTAAATTGTGTTTTCTCAGAATGCTGTGAGATTCTTAGACAAACACAGTCGCAGAGCTATTGAAGAGAATGAATGGCTAAAAGAAGAGGTAAGAGCATCCCTTGTGTACAGTTAATTTTGGTAGTTCAGGACTGAAATACCATGGCCTGCAGTCGTAACCATGCCCAGTGATGGGTCTCTGAAGACTTTCATAAGAAAAGGAGAACAATTTTCCTGTAATTACCCTGAATAGCAAACAGCAGATATGGTGAATAAAGGTAAAAGGTGAACATCTGCTTTCACAAATGCTTCTCCTGCCCGAGCAGGGCTAATTCTAATATTTTTTCAATGATCTGCATGAGGAGATTGAGTACACCCGTTTGCCGATGACACCAAGCTGGGTTCGAGTGTTGATATGCTGGAGGGTAGGAAGGCTCCACAGAGGGATCTGGACAGGTTGGATCGATGGGCTGGGACCAACTGCAGGAGGTTCAAGAAGGCCAAGTGCCGGGTCCTGCACTTTGGCCACTGGTAACGATACAGGCTTGGGGAGGAGCGGCTGGAGAGCTGCCAGGCAGAGAGGGACCTGGGGGTGCTGACAGACAGGTGGCTGAATGTGAGCCAGCAGTGTGCCCAGGGGGACAAGAAGGCCAATAGTGTCCTGGCTTGTATCAGAAACAGTGTGGCCAGCAGGACCAGGGCAGTGATTGTGCCCCTGTGAGGCTGCACCTCAAATCCTGAGTTCAGTTTTGGGCCCCTCACTCCAAGACACATATTGAGGTGCTGGAGCGGGTCCAGAGAAGGGCAACAAAGCTGGTGAAGGGTCTGGAGATCAAGTCTGCTGAGGAGCGGCTGAGGGACCTGGGGTTGTTTAGACTGGAGAAAAGGAGGCTGAGAGAAGACCTTAACGCTCTCTACAACTACCTGAATGGAGGCTGTAGCAAGGTGGGGGTTGGTCTTTTCTCCCAAGTAACAACTGATGGGACAAGAAGAAATGGGCTCAAGTTGCACCAGGGGAGGTTTGCATTGGGCGTTAGGAAAAATTTCTTTACTGGAAGAATGGTGAGGCATCAGAACAGGCTGCTCAGGGAAGTGGTGGAGAGTGTTCAAACCACGTGTAGATGAGGTGCTTGGGGACCTGGCTGAGTGGTGGACCTGGCATTGGTAGGTTAACAGTTGGACTTGATGATCTTAAAGGTCCTTTCCAACCAAAACAATTGTAGGCTTCTCTGAAGAACCACAACTTTCCATACAATTAAGTATTTTTATCTATGGAGACTAGGATGCTACATAGTGCAAAGGCTCAGTCATGTAAATACCTGAAGAGTGTAGTTTTAAATTGCACTGAAGTTCTAGTGCTGCTATATTGAAAGAAGATGTTGGAGACATTTTTGGAGAAAGGGCTTGGGACAGCTTTTAACGAGAGATAATAAAGGAGCCCTAGAGATTAGTACACTGAAGAGAGGAATAGTTGTAACTGATTTTTGATAGCTTTTATGCTGTCATGCAATGGCAACTTAGATCTATACATTAGATAGCGGTAACTTTTTTTTGTCAAGAAAAAATTGTTTTGGTGAGCCACATTTAGGAAACTCTTTTTCCTATGGTGAAAGTTTGATTGCATTTGTTCCTGTCAATGTAGGTTCTTCGTTACAAAAACTCTAAGCAAGAGATTGGAGGGAGGACACACCCTTCTCCACTCTGACAACCTCACAGTTTAGAACCGAGCGAAACTTATTTGGAAATTAATAAGTGAACTTCTTATTTTTCAGTGCCACATGAACAAACCTGGCAGGGGTTTCTCCATTTTACTTCCTAGCTTACGGTCCTTGCCAGCAGGCAGGGAGATTGCTTTCCTCCTTCCCCTTAATGAGCTTGGAGCCTACTTCTTTAACTTTCCAGGGAGGGTGTCCAAGCCACAGCTTCTGAGGCAATGAGGTAGGGGTCAACAGGAAAGAATTCATGTTTTAATTTGTATAAACAAATGGGAGCTCGAATCTATACATCCTGTCACTGAACCAGTGTGAATTCCCTTCCCTTCTCCCTGTCTCATGGAACACTTAGGATTTTTGCACACATTAGGCAATGTCAACAGGGGAGACCCACTTTGGCGTGCTCTGATGTCCTGACAGGCCCTTTCCTCAGAGTTGAGGGATTTGCCTTTCTTTCCTCTGAACTAGAAGTTTCCTGTGTTACAAATTAGTTTCCTAAGTTACTCGTTCCCTAAGTTATGAATTAGTGATTTGAATTATTGTGGAAAACAAAACTATTATTGCTAACTCCAGTCCTCTGAATTCACCCATTCATTTTCTCTGCTTCTCTTAAACAGATGAAATATTTTCTTCGATGCTAATGTTTATGCAGAGCTGGCAGACTCTTCCAGTATTCTTCTTTCGGGAAGATGAACCAAAAATTTCAGTTTTGTCCTGGTTCAAAATTCATCATTTTTTTCCTGTTTAGTCACTGAACTCAAAAAATTACTTACCAAAACAGCCCTAGACTAGTTACTGCCAAATTTGAACAGATTTGGAGACTTCAGTCACATTTTTCCATGGTCACACCAAGATGGTGCTAAGCTGCATCACCCCAGCGTGCCAAACCACATCCTGTTACCAGTTCATGTCCTGTCATTTTCACCTTTTTCAGTCCCTGGGAGAAATGGCAACTAGATTTGAACTGCAAATTTGGATGATTGTAGCTGGTTTCAGTGAGAACAGATGCATTCAGATCACTAGGTACCACTTTTAAACCTGTGCGTACGCCTAAAATTTCTGGGAAGGTCTCTGTCCCGTGGGACATTCCGCTTCCCAGTGAAGGGGATAAGAACCTGTTTGTTCTTGAAAAGTAAGAGGAATTATAGGAATTGATTAGCTGGTATCCTTTGGTTAATATAACTTTGTGGCAATACGGGGCAGTTACCAGTCCAAAAGAAAGTTCAGCCAGTGTTGTGGCTAACTTGGACTGAAAGCTTCACAAATTCTAGGTAAGAAGGTTTTGTGTACAGGCAGGAATTAGAAAAGCAACGCTTGCTGAGCGAGCGCCTCAATTTAACTCTGCAGAGAAAGTTTTTCTGTCTCAAAGCTCTCATGTGAAAGCAGAAAAAAAAAGAAAAATCCAAAGCTTCTGTCTCCCAGACCTGCTGGCTACATGAGAAGGTTCTGCTGTCAGGGTTGCACGGCCCCAGCGTGCGGCTGTGATTGACAGGCTTGTGCCAGCACAGGGTTGTAGAAGCGGTGTGGAAGAACCAGAGAGACCTTCCCTCGGCCTGAAAATGTTTCTCTACCAAATGTGCAGTCTTGCTGATACAGCTGCATTCCTTCTTGGTATGTGCTGTTAGGATAGTTACTGGGAAAGCTGTCTAAAAATACATTTTATTTTTCTTTCAAAAGATTAAGATGTATCAAAAGGAAGTAAGTGATTTGCAAGCCTCTATTCAGCTCCTGGAAGAAGAAAATATCGGTTTAGTGACAAAACTGATTGAATACAGACTTCAGAATCTGAGAAAACCCAGGTAAAACAATGCCTTTACAGACACAAAAATGATTTAAGTTTTTAAAAAAAGAGATACTGCCTTCTCCTACCCCTAGAGCTACTTGGGCTGCCGCACAACAAAGCCAAAGTCGTTTCCTTGTTGAGGGGAGGCAGGATTTGACTGCGTATGTGTGGGACTTGTGTCTTTGAAGGATGACAGCGACATTGTAGCCTCCTAAATACCCAAATTCAGGGAAGAAATGGGTTCTTCAATGATCTATTAAGACCTTGTGACACTTAGTTTCTTCTAGCTGGAATATCAGTGGTGCTTGGAAATAGTTTCCTTCTATTGCAGTTGTCTCAGTCTCAGACCCAGCTTCTCAGACCAAGTGCTGAGTAATAGATTTTTCCTTTACTGTTGGCAAAATGTTTAAGGATGTGAAGATTAATATGCAAATATATGGGGGTTTGCAAGCTCAGGTGAAACAGTTGGCCTGGTTACTGAGCCTTGGGATAGGTCTGTCTGTAGAGGTGTCTGTAGTATTGGTGTCTTTTGTGCTGGAATAATTTAACTGGTTCCCTAGAGAAAGATTAATTTAGCTGCAAAATGTCAACACTAATGGTATCAAAAGCACAATGCAACAATGGGAATGATCCATCTTCATTTTCCAGTCCCAGCTCAGGGATTTCAGCTGTGCTGCATGAAAAAATTCCAGGTCTTAAGTAGTGACCATTTTTGTCTCCTCTCCAAACTTTGGACTGCTTTTAAATGAGAGCTGCCCAGCTGTGGTTTGAATCTTGGACTGACTGGAGACTGTAACATTTGTTTTCTTTTAGTCTCATGGACATAGCTGAACTTAGGCCCTAAGAATAAAAAAGAGCAGCTCATTATCCACTAAGCTACCTGGCTGCCTCCATCGCATTTTTAAACCATTGCGCTATTCTGCACTTGCGGTTTAAAGCAGCAAACGGCTTCCAGAAAGGGTGGCCTCCCCCTCACCCCAGAAGATTGCACAGGGCAACTCAGAGACAAAAGTCAGACCTCTCATATGAATTTCACTTTGTCTTTTTAATTTCATAGGCATTTGTTTCTCACCCAGGCAGCTGGCCTGCAAATGGGATTTCCTAAGGATGAAATGAAAGAAGTAGAGTATAGCGAATATGCAGGTAATGCACATGCCAGCAGCTTATAAGAACTAATCAGTTACTGAACATTTACATACTTATTTCTTTTTGACATGGTGAACACTTATTTTCCTACTTAGCAGCCCCCACATCAATGACAGACTGTAGTTTGCATCAAGACAAAACCACGATCTGCCTGTAACAGGAGCTTTAAAATGCGTAGCCTGTTGGATGTCATTACTCACAGGGAGCTACCCTGGAATGTGGTTAACAGGATCAGCCACCTTTTATGACAAAATGATTCATATCCTAATCAGTTCTTCACTGATCCCTGCCATCAGTATATCTTGTCCCTGAGCGGACACTCTGCAACTCCACGCTCGCTTTCACTTGAAGCGTACTTACACTTTCCAGTCATTCAGCTCATAGAGATACACCAGGGTTAAGTTATAAATGAATCCCTAGCAAGAGCAGATGAAGCTACGTGGAGCTCAGTCTGAACTGAAACTCCTGGTAAGCAGTGCTGGATTTCGGGCTGAATCTCCATCCCTTCTGGTGGCTGTGCCCAAGAAAAGGATAAAGGCAGGAAGGACTGCATGAGTGCACTTACCCATTCAGGGTGGTTTGTGTGAATTCCTTCGCATCACCTCTTTTATGTACTCACTTTGCATGTATAGAAGGAAGACGGGGAAAAAAAGGACAAAATTAAATTGGAGAGCTAAGTTCCAAAAACTGAAACTGTGCAGTTACAAATATATGAACAAGTCTGTTGAAGTTCTGATCAGGTCCAGCCTTTCTGGAAAAATCAGGCACCAAAAAACATGTTGACTAAGACTTCTGAAGGTTTACTTTGAACAGTTTGGCTCTCTTGCCTTTGCCAGACCTTTACAATAGTTACTGGGAGGAGTAGGTTTTGTTCCAATGAGCTGGGGGCAAGCCCCTGTCCCAGGCGCACGTGCCTTGGCGGTTCATATCCAGAATTGTCTATCAGCCTGAGAACTGGTCAGCAACAATGTGAGGTCTTTGAGGGATTTGTAAGTGGATTAGCTGTGTTTCAGGAACTTGTAAATATGTACATATAGAGAGAGATACAGAAAAGGTTTTTACTTGGGTTCAGTGCCTTTCTCATTTTTTTAAACTATTCATGGCTCTATAGGATTTAGGTTGAGTGGATAGAAGCTAATTTTTTCCCTTGCCCGATCCCACAGACCCATTGCTTCTAAGTTCCAATCAATTTCTGTCCCAGATTTTGATCAGAAATTGTGAGCAGAAATAAACATAGAAAAATCTGTGAGCAAAAAATCAACATTTGGCTTGGATTGCCCGTTAAAAATCTTACCAAGCTGTTCATCACACTGGCCGAGCCCCATTAAAGATTGCAGGCAATGCTCGCACTGCACACTAATGCTGATCTTCATGGAGCTTAACAATTACATATACAACTCTTTAAAAAGCAAAAGCAGGTGGAGATGAAAGCCTCAGAAGTGCCACACTCCCCTGTGAGGAAAAACAGGCCTTTGCAAAGATTCAGTCTAAACCAGAGAACGAGGAGCCACAAGACAGCGACGAGGAGCTACAGGAAATGTCTTTCACTCCAACTCTCGATGGCTTCTTGTATGAAGATGAAAAAGATTTCCAGGTAAGAGTTAAAGTAATCGGGGCTCACTGACATGAGCCTATTTCAGTGTGGAGCATGAGCTACTGCCAGGAGCGTTCTACTCCTGGTGGTGTTACAGCAGGAAAAAACTCCAATGTCTTTTACCTCATGTAAAATTCTGATGTTTAATCACAGGCGTCGGGTGCGATTTGAGAGGGTGAGGATGCTCCTTGTCCTTCAGATGCTGGGCTGAAGGAGTACAGGTCAGCCTCACGTGGGTGTTTTGGATGCCTTAAGGCATTTCTGCCAGCACGAGACACATTGTTTTGGCAACTGAACGGTGTCCTGGGAACCTGCGTTGTGTGAGTGTCAGATTGGAAAGAATTCTCAATGTCACCAAGTGGCAGTTTTCTATGGTGTTGGACAGATTCTTGTTGCTTGGATGCTGCTCCTTCTAGAGCTTACATTAGTAGCATTAAAAGATCTACAAGTCAATTAGGCCTTCAAGGGAAGGACGAAGGTGTGCCTGGGTGCAAAATACAGGCGCTGAGAAAATCAAAAGTACAAGTTATAGGTAAATAGGCAGAGCTGGTCTGGTTCTTGAAAGAGGTGGTGGCACTCGCTTCAGAAGATCTTCAGTCCTAGATGCGAAAAGGTGCTTCCCATGTGCCTTTGATAATAAACTCCTCAGTTTCAAAAACTGAATACATTTCTAAATAAATTCAGAAAATATATTACTCTACATCACTGATTTCTACTGCAAACTAAAAAGGTAATATAAATGTGGTGCAGACTGCAGGCCTCCTCTGTAAAGAGACCTCTCCATATTTCTTTACTCTTGAATATAATATTCAAACTTAAAAAAATGTCCAACAAAACAAAAAACTCTAAATAACACTTTTTTTCCCTAGAAATGTGGCATTAGTTTGATTAATGCCCTGCAAATTGCGTTCAGAGAAATCATCCTGTTGCCTTGATCAGAGACTAACTCAAGGAGTGGCCCTGTCCTGAAGAGACGTTGCAGAGAAAAGCTCAAGATTTAACAACCCAACTGTCCAGGTGTTTGTTCCCCTGCAGCTGTCGCCTTGGGAGAGGATCACTAGCTTTATTTTTGATCCCTGCTGCCGACACCACAGAGCCCAGCCCACTGAGGGCCTTGGGCGCTGCTGATGTTCTTTAGTGTCCTGACAACAAAGGTGGAATTGCAAACATTGGCAGCTGCCACGAAAACATTTGGGAAATGGAGGTGATTCAAGAGCCTCCTGCTGCAGGGCTCCTCCTTCCCTCTCCCTGGCCTTGGTTGCACGGGGCAGTGACTGTGCCCCTGGACTCGGCACTGGTGAGGCCACAGCTTGAGCACTGGGTCCAGTTTTGGGCACCTCGGTATAAGAAAGACATAGAGGTGCTGGAGCAGGTCCAAAGGGGGCTACAGGAAAGCTGGGGGGGGCTTGTTAGGATGTCGGGTAGTGATAGGACTAGGGGGAATGGATTGAAGCCAGAGATGGGTCGGTTCAGGTTGGACGTGAGGAAGAAGTTCTTCCCCATGAGGGTGGGGAGACCCTGGCACAGGTTGCGGGTGGCAGCCCCATCCCTGGAAGTTTTTAAGGCCAGGCTGGATGGGGCTCGGGGCAACATGGTCTAGTGGGAGACGTCCCTGCTCAAGGCAAGGGGTTTGGAAATAGATGATCTTTAAGGTCCCTTCTAACCCTGAAAATTCTATGAAAGCTGGTGAAGAGTCTGGAGAACAAGTCTGTTGAGGAGCTGCTGAGGGAACTGGGGTTGTTCAGCCTGGAGAAGAGGCTGACTGGAGAATTTAATCCCCTCTACAACCACCTGAAAGGAGGTTATAGTGGGTGTTGGTTTCTTCTCCCAAGTTACTAGTCATAGGGTAAGAGGAAATGGGCTCAAGTTGCACCAGGGGAGGTTTGCATTGGGCGTTAGGAAAAATTTCTTTACTGAAAGAGTGGTGAGGCATTGGAACAGGCTGCTCAGGTAAATGGAGGAGTCACCATCCCTGAAGGTGTTAAAAAAATGTGTAGATGTGGCACTTCAGGACATGGTTTAGTGGTCATGGTGATGTTGGGTTGACAGTTGGACTTGATGATCTTAGAGGTCTTTTCAAACCTTAATGATTCTATGTACGATCCTGCTCCTGCTCTCCAGAAACCCGTCGTGCACATCGGCCTTTCCTATTGCTGATCCACTCACTAACCCAGCAGAAAAACTTGTCCTTTTTTGCTCCTTTTGAATTAGTTTGCTGTTGGATTAGTCAACTAAATTGATTGAGAGGTTTGGAGGAGATCAGAGCCGGCACAGACAGGGTGGGAGCACGTGGCTGCACTTGGACCTCTCTCTTTTGGCTGTAGTGAACCATTGGATTAGTTTAATTCTTCTCACAGAACAATATTCTTTCTTTTTAAGGAATACCTAGAACTGAGTCCCCTGGAGACACAGCTGATGTGCGTGGTTGGAAGAGCCATGTCTATTCATAAAGAACCCGAAGAAATGCCAAGTGGGAGCCACACAGAAGACAGCGTTACTGGTAAATCCAGCAGGCACATCACAGCTCAGATGATCAAGGACCTCTCTAAAGAGAAATTAGACAAGCTGTGCCGTTCACATAGAAAAGTAACATCCTCAGTTAATTAAATATTTGCTCTGTTCTCCAAGGTGTGGCACTGGTCTTTGTGGAAACTATTTCTGAGTGCCCAAATTATGGTTTACATAATGTAAATTTAATGAGATGCATGTCTGTGTGCAGATGGCCAAGTGAAAGGTTCCTTTC